GAAGGGGAAAGGACAAGCACCAAAGATCATAATGGCCCCGTTTGCATTACTCACGCTAAAGGACCCTCCCTCGCGCATCATCAGGGATTCCATAAAAATGCGCTAATCACCTGTTGTGCACAAATCTGTAAAAACACTCTAAAGCCTAAATGGGAACTAGTATAGAAAGAATGGAAAAACGGAAATAATAGGTTACTGTGAAGCAAACAGACTAACAAAACTCACTTTACTATCCCTTTCCAATTCCCCACGAAGCCAATCAAAGTCGCTGTATCTGCGTCGAACACTGGATTCCTTTTGCTTGAAAACCGGCAAATTGGACTGAAATGAACCAACGAGCTAGTTTACGATGTAAAATCTGTGCCCTGAACACTGAACATTCCCGAAAAATGCCACAAAGAAGGCCAAGCCGTTTAACTCCTTGGTCTAGTTATAGATAGGGCTGTAAAAAAAAAACTCAAAAATAGCAAGCCAAAAGCAAAAGTTCCCACGAACATGTGAGTAACAGCACTTGATTCGAAAGATGAGTCTTCCACTGAATTTCGGAAATTTTGCGACGAAGGAGGGGGGGGCATTTTGCACTTCCTGCGCTTCATTATTACAGTTTACGAGTCTCACTTTGGTGAAACCTGTAAACTCTCGTAAGTTCATGATAGCACAGGTGATGAATTTCATCATGAATGAACAAGAGTTAAGTGGTACTCTTCACAAGAGTTGAGAAGTGGTCTCTTGCAAGCTTTGGCTGCCATCATTTCGTGGATTGACAAGATTCCACAGGTTTTCACCCGAAATGTCGATGGGAGGTAGCGAAAGTGTCGAATGCCCCCCCCCCTGGCCGAACTGCGCCAAATCAAATCAATCAAATTTGTACTCAGCGAAATTTCTACGTCTTATTCAGCGAAATGCGACGGCACATTCTTTCCATTAAGCGCCATGCTCTAGAAATTGACTCCGAACGAAACACCAAGTAGTGCATAAGGAAGGAACAAGTGGCAGCCTCTTTTTCCTCTCCCCCCTCTCTAAACCGAGTCTAGCACCCAGCAGATCATCGCGTTGGGTAAAATTTTTGCTCCTCCTGTACCATTCCTTTCACAACCACGTACCACCATCTTATGGAATTTGCCCAAAATTTTGCTACCAAGCTGGGTTAAAGGGGGGGGGGCTGTATTAACCCTTCCGATTAACTACATATACTACTGAAACACGTCAGCGAAAAGCAATCCTATGCCCGGCAGTTTTTCTAACCCCAATAAAACTTTAAAAGTGCTATCGCAGTTAAATGTGCTATCGCAGTGATGGTAGTAATGGCTGTAACGGGGGAAGGGCATAACGCCAGTGAATCGGGAAAAACCAATGAAAGTCAACTACCCAGAAACATTTCCCGTGAAAGCGGGCACGACCCCTCCTTCTCTCCACCGACCACATACAACCCGCCTCACTGGGGATCTACAGCGCACGACATGACGTTCCTTGACTTAAAAAGGGGGCTCTGCGAGGGTAACCATTTCAAACGTTGCAATTCGTGTTCACGGATGACGTTAACCTAACTTTTGCCCATGGTTTCCTTCAAGTGGCCCTTCAACCTGATAAGCGGCAAGCGTTAACTTTTCACACAC